TTTCTCCTTTTTAGTTACTGATTTTTTAGTCGCCAAAACCTTTCATTTTTTTTTTTTTTTGCCTACTAACTGTTTAGTCGCAAACAAGTTCTTTTTCTATTTTTTGGCTACTAAATATTTAGTCGCCAAAAGCTCTATTTCTTAATTTTTTTTAAATGCACAAATTGAATATTTTTCATTAATTTCTAAATTATATGTATTTCATTATCAATGCAGCCTGTAACCTGTACATATACAGAATAATACATCTATCAATTATAATCTAAATCAATTATCAATAATACCCATTTCATTATCAACTATCCAAAAACTTTAACTTGTAACATCATATTGCAAATATCATATAAATCCATATCAACCAAATATAATTCATCTAAATTAAATATCAGATACAAAATAACTAAATTTCCAAACATAGGATTGTACAAAAATGTATGTCTTCCATATACAGAACAAATGCTCTTCGTACACAAAAATAAATATACACAATAGCCCACACAAAAGCAATCTGTAAAACTCAAAAATAAAAAAAATAAAAAAAATTAACCATTAGTACTTATTCAATAAAATTGACATTTCAAATTATAACAATTATAAAATTAATAATTCTAATATATTACACTCTGCAAATTATTACAATTATAAAATTAATAATTCTAACTTTCTACCTATTAATACAATTTTTCTAAAGATTTATTGGTGTCATTTGCTTGTGTTGCAGCTTCAACTTCAACAAGAGCACACCTTAAAGATGCAATGACCTTTGATGCTTCATCACCAAACCCCATTTTGGCCAACCTTGATTCTGTTTTCCCAGTCAACACTGCCTCTCTTAACTGTTTGCATTCACAAAGCAATAAGAACTGTTAAAGGATCAAAATCAAAGGGATGATTTCCTGTTAAACACAAATGATGACTGCCGTAAAAACATACATCTAAAACATCAATATCAAAATTCTAACTGTTCGGGATACCTTGAAACTCCATATATTAGGTTCTTATGTTTTTATGGCAATATGAGAGGGAATGTAAAGTTAAAAAGCACTAAACACCAGATCTGATGACAGCTTAGGATTAAGTAATTTCATGCCTACATTCCTGGTGAAATATAACTAGCAATTATAGTTGATGCAGAGGCATGAGACTTCAGTACAGATAATGGTAGCTGCCACTCATTAATAAACCAATCATTAGCTTGATCCTCCTTGAACTGGGCAGAGAGGAGTCTACATCTCACAAAAGAGTAGGTTCATAACAAAAGAGTATACAAGAAAAGAGGTTATAATTTGCCCAAAGTCTCTACTTAAACTATAATGGCAATTGTGATCATGTTTAATTGTGAGTTAATTCAATACCCACCAATTTCATTTTGAGGTTCTTATTTCCAGTGGTTACCAATAATGCAGTTGATTTAATTCCAAAAGCAAATCAGATTATGTGGATCAAAATATATTAAAAATCTAAAGAGGTTTTTCATTTTTTTTTTTTTTTTTTAAGGTTTCACAAAGAGAAAAGGGCTTGATACAACTAAGCTATATTCTAAATATCCAAAATTAAGAACTTTAGAATATTTATAAAAAAAAAAAAAAAGAATGATATCATGAGAGAAGAAATTATGCCTTTCATTTTTTATTGGCTTCATTCATTTATTGGTCTTTAACAAATACTAGATTTGTAAACAAACAACAGATTTAAGCGTCCAAATGCATCTTCAATAAATCTAGGCATAGAACAGTAAAATGATAACTCTGTAGTATAAAACGAATAACATTCTAGTACTCGAAGTTTCTTTCAACTAGCTACTCAAACTGAAGGTGCAACCAAAATTCAGAATCAAGAACCAGTGCCACAGAAATTACAGCCATTCATCATAACCCTGAAACTATTCATTAAGCTATGACAAGTAATGGTTCCTTAAAGAGAATGATAGAGGACCAAACATAGATAGCATTTAAATTTCTTAAATCAAATAAATAGCACTAGATTAAATGAGTTCACCAATAGCTATTCATTTCTTTCTCATTTTCCTAACTCAACCAAGCCACACAAAAAAAGAAAAGAAAAAAAGAAGGGCATTTAGTTTCTTCCCCTTCATTTTGTGGCGTATATTTTCTTTCAATATTACTTTTTTCATATCAAGGTTGCATAGTATAAATTTATACCACATCCACATCCAATAGAGGTTTAGGCGGAAATCACCCTATGAGGCAAACATACATATGCTGCTCTCTATATTTCTGTAACAGAAATCAGTGGAGTAGGCACATAGTGTGTTGGCCCAAACAACCCTATTGATTACTTTGTTTCCATTTTAGCGTAGAAATATGGCATATAGTTTCTTTCAATATTCTCTATTTTCATATCAAGGTTGCATAGTATGAATTTATACCACATCCATATCCAATAGATGTTTTAAGTGGTAATCAACCTATGAGGCAAACGCAAATATGCTGCTCTCTATATTTTCTGTAACAGAAATCAGCAGAGTAGGGACACAGTGTCGGCCCCAACATCCCAATTGATTAGTTTGTTTCCATTTTAATGTATAAATTGCATCTTATGCACTAATAAAGCGCTTATTCCCCCCATTTTCTGCAAACAATCAGATGGCACATGATTCATACCGGTTTACCTCTGTGTAGCAGAGCAATAAAAGTTCCAAACAAGGGTTTGCCTGGAATACAATACAAATAAAGAATCAGTTCAGCAAATATTTGAAGTTCAAACTTAATGACTTTAACTTAAGAAATACAAAGATGAAATGCCAGTTATAAAACTTTTTGTTCCGTCTATTGGATCTAAAACCCAAACATATTCTGCAATTTTCTCTTTACATCTCCAACCCTTCTCCTCTCCAAAACTGCAATTTGCATTCTCTAACAGTTTCAGCAAAAACAATGAAACTACAAGGCATTATATATACAAAATCTTATTTAAGAACTAACACTAATTCACTACTGCTCCTTTTTGTTCATCAGAAAAGTAAAAGAAAATAAATACATAAATGAGAACCATATTATTCCACAGGTAATGGTTGGCTTATGAGATTCAAATTTAATTAAACATATTACACGTGCTTTGTTTTCTAAATCACTTAATTTTCACATGTGTTTTGGCCATTTGCTCCCATTCACATGGATCTCATTGTTTTAAAAAATAAAAAAATAAATCATTGGGGCATTTCATCATACACTTGCAATGCAAAATGTTCATTATGTATGAACATCACAGAGGCTGCTAATGTGTTTCAACATGTCCATTATTCAACATTCACAAAACATTTTAGCAAGCCTATTATTCATATCACAGTTTTTCATCATGGGGATCAAATGCAAGTTAAGTGGAGAGAATTTATTTATAAAAAAAAAAATAACGAACTTTTTCTTCTTTGTCAATGGAGGAGATTTGGGGATCTAGGGCTGCTAATGTGTTTGGGTAAACAAAGCTATTCAGCCAATGTAGAGAACGGACGTTAGAAGGCCGACGCCGGAAGCCCTCCACCGCCGTCGACGAGTTCATTGATGGAGAGAGCGAGGCCAAATCTGATGCTGCAAGAATGTAGGTTTATAGAGAGAGAGAGAGAGAGAGAGAGAGAGAGGTTGAATGAAAAGAAGATGAGGGAGAAGAATCTGAAGAGAGTGATAGTTCAAAAAAAAACAAAACGAATCTGACGAGAGGGAGAGGGAAAGGGACGCTGAGGAGACAGAGAGAGAGGCGCTGGTTTTGTTTAGGGTTTGGAGAGAAGAGTGAGAGCATGAGAATATAGATGGTTATTGGCGACACAAATTTTTTAGTCGCTGAAAATATTTTATAAACCCCTCCAAAATATTTGAAATGTCTCTCTCCAAAAATTTTAGTTTTTTGGCGACTAAAATTCTTTTTTGTTGCTGAAAATAAACTTTTGACCACTAAAATTTTGGTCGCCAAAGATAAAAAATAAATTTTTATTTTACATTCGGCAACTAAATGATTTGGGGAGCCAAAATGCAATATACGGCGACCAAAATTCTTTTTTGTCGCTGAAAATAAACTTTTGGCCACTTCCATTCGGCTACAAAAATTCTTTTTTGTCGCTAAAAATAAACTTATGGTGACCAAAATTTTGGTTGCCAAAGGTAAAAATAATTTTTTATTTTCTATTCAGCGATTAAATGGTTTTAGTAGCCAAAACTCAGTATATGGCGACTGAAATTATTTTTTGTTGCCAATTCTAGCATTTTTAGCCACTAATTTTTTTTAGTCGCCAATAACTAATATACCCCGACTAAAAAAATTAGTAGCTAAATGTTTTATTTTTGTCGACTAAAAAAATTTTTGGTCCCAATTCCACAACTTTTGACGACTAAATTTTTTTTAGTCTCCAATTTTGGTCGCCGAATGTGCATTTTGTTGTAGTGATATACAGATATGCCTCTTTTTAAACTTTTTGCCCCCCAAATCTTAAAAAAAAAAAAAAAAAAAAAAAAACTTCCCCATATTTGAACTTATTCAAATCTATTTGTCCCCATGTTTTTAACTAACTTATCACTATATCTGGACCTATCTATCCCCATATTTTTAACCTATCTATCATCGTATCGGAACTTCTTTATCCTCATATTTGAACCTATGTGTCCATAAATTTGGTACCTCCATTTTTTTTTATCCTATCTGTCATGATATTTTTAACTATACATAAATGTCCCCATGTTTGAACCTATCTATCCCCATATTTAGATCTATTTATTCCCATTTTTAAAATTTTTTTTTTCATTTAAAAGTGATTTAAAAATATACAGATAAGCATATATGTTATTTTTTTTAATTTTTAAATTCATTATATTTTTTAATTAATTTTTTAAAAAGTCCACATATAGGCATATTATATCCCGTTTCTTTCTTTCTTCCTTCCTTTCCCCTCCTCCCTCTCAAAATTTCACATTAAATATCGATCTTAGTTAAAAGACCTCAAAAAAGGAGAATCCACATTGACCTTGTTTAAGAGATCTTCAAAAAACTGAATCCATAAACAGTGGCAGAGTTAGAAATTAAATCAGAGAAGACACTTATTAATTACAATATTAAAATTTTTTTAAAAAATATTTCACATAAATTTTTACCATTAACTTCAAGAAAGATAAAAAAAAAAAAAAAAGTCAATGTGTTTGGTTTTAATTTTTTTGAATTCAGTTTTCTGAAAACTAAGTTTTTTATTTTTCATATTTTTTTGATTTTAGGGAATATTTTTTAAATTTTAAACAATTTTTTTACTTTTTTTAGATGCACATTACTTCGATATGTATCCAAATAATAAAATATTTGAGAAAAAAATATTTTAAAAAATTAATAAATACAAAAAAATGTACTGAATTTTCATATTATTTTTATATTTTTTGGTATTTAATGTATTTTTTAAATATTTTTTTTACAAATATTATACTTTTTAAGTATATTTATGTTAGGCGTGTCTAAAAATTAAAAAAAATATGCTTAAAATATTAAAAAAATTTATTGAAAACATTAAAATACGAAAAATAAAAATGTAGAATTGCGTTGGGACTTCTACAAGGGATTCGTGACTTGTTTACTTCCCTATATTGATAAAGGTTTTCCTGCAATGTGCAAATTGGTTTGATTTAATTATTTATTTTAAATGTTCGAACTTTAACCTTGAGTTGTATGTGAGTTATAATTGTGCCACGTAAGTTTTCAAATGATTAGATACTTTATTAAATGTATCTCTACTGGGCATATAGCTCAACCCTACTGGTGATGTGCCACCATTGCAGTAATTCGGAGTCTGCATTTTGTTTTTGGTTGGGAGCTGTAGCCTAAGGATTTGTAGTTTTGAAGACTTAAAGCTGTCGCGTTGAGTATTGGAAATTTATTTTGTCGTTTAAATTAATGCTTTGAATTTGAATTCTCATATGCTTACGTGGCAATGTCTTTTGAATTGTCTTCTAGCTTATTAAACTTGGTAATGGACATGAATTGTTCGCACCTTGGAATTGTAATTCTAAACCAGAGTTCAATGAGAAAGATGACTTAATTGTATTTTATTAAACATGTTTGTGGTATGTTCTAGTATGATATTTCAGGTCGTTACAGGAACTACGAAGAAGGTTGGTCCTAAGTAAACGGATTGTTCCTGATGCAACCGCGAGGTTAGAATTGTGCAATTTTGAATATTTTTTTTATTATTGCATCTGTATTTTGTTTGTAGTATCTTGCATATTTATATATTTAGTATCCTGCCTGTGCATATTTTGTTTTTATTATGTTTAGCATCATACCATGTAGCTACATGCTTAAGTGATATATATCTATGAATGTTAGTGGATGGAGATTGTGTTGTTCAATTTGGAATAATATTGATTTTCATGCTTGTAAACTCATTTTCTTTGAGTTGTACATCTTCAAAACGTTTTCAAAATACATGAAATCAAATCATTGCAAAATGAATGACATAGTTTATACTTGTTTGTTTCACATAATAATTTCTAGATTTATTAAATAAATCGGAATATGAACATATATAATATATAAAAATCATATCATGATTTAGTAGAGGTCGATCTTTGATCCGGTGAGTAGAGGTGCTTAATTAATGACCTTTCTTTTTCATACCTAAAGTTTCGAGCCAAGCATCATTAGTTACGACGAACAATAGCCATTACACAAGTCACGAGTTTCCTAATTTTTCCAAAATGTTAGGTGCCGACTCTGAGATCTGATGACGTAGTCCATTTCTGGCAAATGTTATGCAATAAAATGAATTTTCTATAAAACTTGCTGGATTTGGACTCTCATAAATGTTTCATATTACACTTGTGAGACAAGATCAAAGAAGTCGAGAGTCCGAACTGTTTATAGCACTCAGGTACCCCCCGAGCGATGCAACAGGGGTGTAGTTTGGTATTGGCTAAGTTGGCTTGAGTATCCATGGTGGAAGATCGAAAACATATGCGGAGTAGGTACCACGTGCCTTTTGGTTAGAAATTGGTAAAGTGGTGATTGGTCGTGCTTGATATGCCAACTTGCATACACCAACCTAGGGATTACTTGAGTCGTATTTACCACCCTTGAATTATATTGAAGTTATTGAATTGTTATGTTTTCAAATTAGAATTGTGCATAAGATTTCCAAAAGATAAAGAAATATATTTTGAGCATGACATGACATATGCATTCATCTTAGGAGACTGTATAAAATGTATATACTTTGTTAAGATCTTCCTACTGGGCTTTGTGCTCACCCTTACAGATTTTTGTAAGAAATGATGTGGTGATTCCGCTGAGTTAAAGGTGTGGAGTGTATTTTGAGGGCACATGACTCTTCTCTTTTGTTGTTATTTTGACAAGTCAAAGGCTTTACATGTATGAGTTTCGATAACCATTTTGTATAACCGGGTATAAGCCTTGGAACTTGTATCCCATGAGGGCATTAAATTGTATTTGACTCATAGTGCCACATGCTATAGATTCATATTCTAGGAAATGTTGAATGTATAATTACATGTGGAATACTTTTGTTTATAACTGGAGTATAAGGAATACAAATTTTAGAGATTTGATGATAATGTTAATGATGTGGCATTATATCTCGTATACATATATGCAATGGAAGTTATTAAGTTTGGAACAAGATCATCTCGACCTCAGACTAACCTTGTATATATAGTGAGCTATAGTACCTTCCCAACTTAGGATATGATGCTCTCCTTTTAGGATGTGATGATACCATTTGTTTGAATAGTGAAGCCTTAGATCTATTCAAGCTAGGACAGGGAAAATCCTAACCTTCGAGGGTGTTTGGAATATTTTTTTTGTGCGAATGTGAAATGCTTGCTTATGTGCTAATGTGAAATCATGGAAAAAGGGCACCCAATCTTCAAAGAGTCTTAATTTTAAAGGGGTTTTCATTCAAAACTTAGGATCATATTAGAATTAGAATTTGGGTCCAAATCTAGAGGGTTGTGTTTGATGAAGAATCACAATTTGGGGATTGTATCTGAAAGGATAAATTTATAGCAAGATCAGAACTAGGAGGCTAAAAATTATGTCTTGCTTTGTTTTGACCGACATGCTCAGTACCATGATTTGTTTTGATTCACTGGGGTTCAAAGAGCCTGATTCTGTATATTTTGGTGGATAACCCAGGAGAAGCCATACCCAACTCACAAAAAAGCCCAGTCCAATCCAACTCAGAAAAAGCCTAACTCATCTCCCTCTGCATAATCTGACCTCTCCAAGTCAAAAACATTGCAGTCCATTCAACACTGGAAAAACCAATCTTTGACAAAGTCCAGTCTATTCAATCCCAAAAAGACCACTCAGAAAAGGCCAGTTCCATCTAAAAATCCCAAAGTTGCCAATAATTCTTTCCCTGAGAAAAAGTCAATTGAACTAAGGGCAATTGTTAAAAGCACTTGAACGGAACCCTCTGAACTAGGGGCATGATGGAAGAAATTGGAAAGGAAAGTTGCTTTGAAGTGAAAATGGGTTTTGACCTAACAGTGGACTACTTGAAGTTTGTCATGGATTTGCCAATGTACTTGGAAAATGAAAACCCCTTTGTGTTTGGGATGCTTAAGTGGTGTATTGTGGGTGGTTGAGTCGGGTATAGAGTTTGGAGTCTTATTTTCTTTGTCTTTTTTGGAGTCATTGATCATTTGAGTCTTTTTTTTTCTCTCTTTGTTTTGAGTTGCTTTTTCCGTGTTCTTCATTCT